CCCCGCCGCTCGCAGGCCCCGCTCCAGGGCTTCTCCTCGGCGCTTCTCCGCAGGGCGCCCCGTCCCGGCGGCCGGCTCCGCGGGGGCTGCCCCCGCAGCCCACCATGAGCGGCCCGAGGCTGGCCCTCGCCGCCGCGCTCCTCTGCAGCTGCACCTCGCCCGTGGCCGACGCCAACTCCTGGTGGTAAGTGAGGGGAGCCGGCGGCGCCTTTGTCCGCCGCGGGCCGGGGACCGGGGACCGGGAACAGGGGACCGGGGACCGGGACCGTCCGGGGCCGTGCGGCAGCTCCTGCCCCGGGAGCTTCCCTCCCTCCTTCCCTCCTTCCCTCCTTCCCTCCTTCCCTCCTTCCCTCCTTCCCTCCTTCCCTCCTTCCCTCCTTCCCTCTTTCCCTCCCGGGCTTCTTTCGCTTCTCTGCAGGGTTCCCCCCTCCCGCTGTCCCTGCCCAGTTTCGGGAGTGGCGGACGCTGCCCCTCTCCTCCAGGCGCTTCTGGGCTCCTTTTGTACGGGCTCGCTGAAATGCCGTCCGGGCTCTAGGATGTGGGGAATGCGTAGGGAGTGGATGGGTAAGGTTTCCCAGCCGCTGCCAAAAGCCCTGGGAGCAGCCGCGGAGCCCCCTTCCCCCGAAGAGCGGAAAATAGCCTGGCTCAAAGGCAGGCATCGCTCGCTGGCGCTGTGTGAAATAGCTGCTCGCTTTCTTCTGCGGGGAAAGTGCTCAGCTCGCTCTCTGCCCCCTCCCCATCCCGGCCTCGGTGTTTAAACTCGGCTTACAGACGAGCAGTGTTGCTGCCGCTAGAGCCCTGGAGAGCCCCGCATGTGGCGGAGCTGCGGAGGGAGGCGGCTGACATGAGAAATGGGCTCCGCAGCGGGGCTGGGCTGGGCCGGGCTGCTGGCGAGAGGTGTCGGGCGCTTGGCCTCTCCCTCCAGACTCCCTTGGGATGTTTTTCTCATCGTAGGTCTTTGGCCATGAACCCCATCCAGAGGCCGGAGATGTACATCATCGGCGCCCAGCCGGTGTGCAGCCAGCTGCCGGGGCTGTCCCCCGGGCAGCGCAAGCTCTGCCAGCTCTACCAGGAGCACATGGTGTTCATCGGGGAAGGGGCCCGCAGCGCCATCAAGGAGTGCCAGTACCAGTTTCGGCAGCGGCGGTGGAACTGCAGCACGGTGGACAACACTTCTGTCTTTGGAAGGGTCATGAAAATAGGTAGGAGCACCTGGAAATTCAGAAGTGCTGGGCGCAGGCCGGCTGTCCCTCTGCACCTCCAGATACACCCGCAGGAGTGATGAGCCCCAGGGGCGGCTCCTGGAGCTGCCTTCAAGGAGCTTTCCCCTTCCCTGGTGTGCAGGGACTGCCCGAGCCTGCCTGGAGGCACCGATACCCCTCGGCTGGGGGCAAGGGGGACAGCGTTTCTTTTGGGGGGAGCACGGGGAGGTCAGGAAAAGTTCGCTGCGCTTCTTTAAAGGTGGCGAGGGAAGAAGCTGGAGGCAGGAACAATGGCCCCGTGTTATCGTTCCCAGCATCTCGGACAGGGAATGCAGCCCTGAGATGTGGGAAATATGGACCCTCCGAGCATGGAAATTCCCCCACTCCCCCCTTACTGCCACTTTCTGTGTAAGTAAACCTAAGAGATTTTTATAATTCCTGCCCTGCTGGCCGTAAGAGGCACATTGACAGGCCATTGCTGCACTTGAATTGAGGTGTGACCTAGCTACATTGTCCCAGCTCCTTTTGAAATGCAATCATCTGATGGCAAGAAACCGAGAAATCCGGGCTGGGTTTGAAATGTCCGACAGGCAGGCCAATAAAGAAAAGGTGTTAAAACAGCCACACACACACACACACTCACTCTCCACAGCCCCTGTCTGAAGGTTTCGCTTCCCACCCACAAAGCCAATCATTTACACTGAAGAATCAGAACTATTTCTCGGTTGTGAGCTCGAGGGATGGAAAAAGACCTTCAGCTCCTGTACCCCCGGTATTGCTCACACTGGTTTTGGCTTCACTCTCAAAAAAGCTTCAGAAGCAGCAGGACACCAAGAGATGCACCTTTAATACCTCTGGGGCGTTCAGGCGATAGGGCACAAAGTCCTGTGATCTCCTCTGTTTGATCCTGAAATTCATGTGTCCTCCTAGAGAATTCCAGGGATATTTCTGCACGTGTTACTCCATCTTGCAGAATTCCTATTTCAGCCCTAACCAGAGCTATTCTAATTCCTCCCTTTCTGCCCAGCTAATACCCCAAGAGTTCTTCTCTGGGAAATGCTGTTTCCTGACACATACTTCCAGTTCCTGTCACACATCCAAGGCATCTGTGCATCCTTGATCTCTCACTTTCTGATAGCAAGGGTGGTGGCCAGATGGGGCTGCATGCAATCCCAGATTGTTAAAACTTGTGCTTTGAGGGATAAAAACTGAAATTTCATCCACCAAAGGACAGAAAATACACTTTCATCTCTCCTTTCTGATGTCACTCCCTCACGTGTAACTTCTCCTAAAGAATGGTGTGAATTTCAAATCCCCAAAGAAATGTTTGTGACTCAATAGGGATGCAATAAAATAGGAATCTCTCCTTCTGGAGCAATCCTCATTCTCCAGGAGCTTCCTGCAGCTCTGGGTTGGTGCTGTGAGAGGGTCCACAAGTGGAGAAGAGAAGGGTGAACTAAGAGAGCTGAAGGATGAAAAACTGTCAGGAAGAATCGGAATGTGTAGAGGCAGAAGGAACTAGAGTGGATAGTGGAAGTGAGAGGATTTCTCCTCTCTAAAATGAATCTGATTCTGAGTTAAGATTGGGAGTGGGTTTCTTCACGTTTTGATGAAGGCAGAGGTGTTGTAGGTGTGTGATGGGTGTGACCATTGCTCCTGCTGCTTGGTTTGTGTGTGGAGGAATGTGCCGATGGCAGTGTCTGAGGTGACTGCCTGCAGTTGCCCACTCTCCAAAAACCTATGCCAGCAGTTTGGAAACCATTCTCTGCTCAGCTAGAGCATGTTCAGATGTTTATACTCCAGGAGGAGACTGCACAAAAGAAAAATCTCACTGAAGGTGTCCTGGGGTATTCCTGGATCTTTGGTGATTCGTGGCTGTTTGTGTCAGGGATGAGCTGCTGTGGAGGGAGATGCTGCCTCTCCTTTCTTATAGCTTTACCTTCCAATTTTACATTTTCCTATTCATAATGAGTGTTTGCTTATCATTTCAGCAAATATATTTTCCACACTGGGGAAGAGGACAAAACCTCTCAATCTCTTAGGTTATGCCAGATATAAAGCCATTTTTCCCTGGGTTTGTACTGTGTGTCTGTCTCCTGTTTTCAACCTCTGAGCCCCAAATCTGGACCACAGCCCTTTTTCTGTTCTCTGTGCCAATGGCACGAGAAAGGCCTGGAGACCAGAATATCTTCAAGAGTGCACAGCCATGCCAGATTGTTGTGGAGAGGGAGGGGAAAGGAGATAAGAGGCACCCAGAAGGTGCACAGTGTGCCAGCAAGCCTCGCTGCCCACCCACCGATGCGAGCGTGGCATGCATGACATGATTTCTGGAGCTGCACTAGATTGTGAGAGGGGAGGAGAACCTGCCTTGGCCAGAGCCTGGGACATCCGTGTGAGAGCATTCCCTCAGAAACCTGGAAGATCAGTTTCCTTCCCCCTTCACAGAACTTGACTCAGCTCAGAAGCAGGAGAGCTGGTTGGGCTGTGTTTAATCATTACACCTTCATTTTGTGCTTCTCATGGCAGTGAGGCAGTCCAGTGACACAAAGCTTTTGGAGGGGCACTGAAGTTGGCTGCTTTGGAGCATTGTTTTCCCCTGTTTGTGTTGTTATGAGACTGGCTCTTAGCTCTTAAATGTGGTTTATTCAATAACAATATTTAATGATGTAAAAAATTACCCTTCCAAAGTTGCTTCCTGGTCTGTCAATGCAGATTTTAGACTGCACATGTGTGTGTGTAGCTCGATGCATTATATACAGACACATTCCTCACTGCTACATTTATGAGGGGGAGAGCACAGAACACCCCAAAAGGTCATGTTAGAATTTCCTCAGGGGTGGAGAGAGCATGTCTCCTCCAGCAGAATCCTAAATGCAAGGCTGGGATTTCCAGGTTAGTCCAGTCATTTCTGGAGCCAAAGATCTTATCTCTTCTGTCTTTTCAAATGCTAAAAGGGGGAAAAAGAAAGACAGTCATAAAAACAGAGAACAAAGAGAATTTTTTTCCCCTTGTTTTTCTTTGAGATCTGCAAACTTTAGGGTAATGCTTTTAAAACCAACAAGTTGAAACGAAAACATTTTCATTAAAAAAAAAAAAAAAAAGTTAAAATACGGGGTCCGTTCTTCTCCCATTTCCTTCTGGAGCAGCTCCAGAGGGGCTGTGGGAGCCGAGCCCTGGCCGGGGGCCGCATCCCTGGGATGTGGTGTCCCGGGATGCTGTGCCCTGGGGTGTGGTGTGTTGGGATGCCGATGCAGTGCTCGGGATGTGGATGCGGTGCTCGGGATGTGGATGCGGTGCCCGGGATGTGGATGCGGTGCCCGGGATGCTGATGCAGTGCCCGGGATGCCGATGCGGTCCCCGGGATGCCGATGCGGTGCTCGGGATGTGGATGCAGTGCCCGGGATGTGGATGCAGTGCCCGGGATGTGGATGCGGTGCCCGGGATGTGCCCGGGATGTGGATGCGGTGCCCGGGATGCCGATGCGGTGCCCGGGATGTGGATGCGGTGCCCGGGATGC